CCCTTAGCTATGTTAATTGACTAAAAGAACTCACAGAGCTCAGAAAAACTGTTAGGGTACAAATAATTTTTTTTTTTTCAGTACACAGGGCAGAGTCTAGGGGAAGCCAGGAGTTCATTTCCAATTGTATTTTCCCAGTAGATGTGTAGAAATGGTGTTTACCTTCCCCAGCACCTTGAGGCGACAATACTTAACTCTGTATCTAGGCATGGAGGCTCATCTATGCCCCGTGGGATAACTCCAAAACCTAGACCATATTCAGGTCTGTCATTTACTATTTTTTACTCTCTACTAGGAATGACTCCCCTGCCCCCACTTCTCCCTCTCTCTTTGATTAGGTACTAGTTATTTATTTAATCAAAGGGTGCTCTAACCTCTGAACTCCATTCCCAGACCTTTTTAATTTTATTTTGAGACAAGGTCTCTCTCTAAGTTCCCAGGTACTGGCCCCAAATTTGACATTCTCCTGCTTCAGCCTCCCCAGAAGCTGGGGTTGCAGGCATGCACCACTGTACCGGTCATTTTCTGCTGCTTATGTTTCAGGATATTTATAGTATTCTGAACGTTATATATTTGAGTGTACACACACACACACACACACACACACACACACACACACACACACACACATATTGTAGAGACTAAAGCATAGCATTTCTGTTTTGTTTTGTTTATTTTCCCCAATAAGAAAGTTCTGCCTGACACTTGAGTGTCTGACCATTCAGTGCTTCTTAAAGATGAATAACCACTATTTTGAATTTCAGTATTTGAAGAGGCATTTGCTGAAGTTTCAGATATTTTTAGTTCATGTTTTATTTAGTAATGGCAAAGTCCTTATGTATGTAACTTTGATAAATTTATTTACCAGTTTTGATAATATTAGAGTTTTTTTGATAGATTTCTTAAAATTCTCTATGTAAACAATTATGTCATATGTGAATTATAGTTTTATCTTTCTAAACTCTACACTCCTACTCTTCACCATTTTATTTATTTATTTTTGCCTTGTGTTGGCCAAGATTGCTAGTAAAATGTGCTGAAGAGAGAAAAGCAGACATCTTTGCCTCATTGCTGAAAGAATTTAATATTTCATCATTAAATATGATATAAACTGAAGATATTTAATAAACAGTTCTTATCAGATGAAGGGAAAATGCTTCATTTCCTAGGTTGCCAAGAACTTAGACACAAATGGATGATGAATATTATCAAGTAATTTTTGTATGCATGAAATAATATTCTGTTAATATATTGAATTACATTGATTTCCAAATGTTAAATCAGCTTTGCATTCCTGGGATGAATCACACATGGTCATGATGTCTTTATCCTTTCAATGTTGGATTGGATGTGATGCTTGGTTCCATATTTTTCATCTTTGTTTATAAGTAATATGGATCCATAACTTTCTTCTTGAGATTATCTTTGTCAGATTCTGGGTCAGGGTCATTCTGGTCTACTACAATAGTAAAAAACATTCTCTCTTGTTTTTGTCCAATAGAAATTGTAAAAGATTGTTAATATTTTTTTCTTAAAATGTTTGCTAGCATTCACTAAGGAAATCATATTGCTCTAGAGTTTTCTTTTCTGAAAGTGATAATTCAGTTTCTTCAGTTGATCGTTTATATTTCAGTTGTTCGTGTGTGTGTGTGTGTGTGTGTGTGTGTGTGTGTGTATTGCTAAGAGTGGAACTCAATGCCTCACACATGCTCTGGATTTTCAGTTTTTTAATTGGTGTCAGGTTTTATAACACTGTCTTTCAAGAAAGTCACCAACTTTGTCCATTGTTAAATTCACTGGTATAATATTTCTATATCCTTTTAATGTCATTAGTATCTCTAATGATCATTTTCTGGATTTGTAAATTTTATGCTTTTTTCATGTATTTCTTCCCTACAAATTTTTATGTTTATAAAAATAAAAAGAATAAAAATCTACTTACTTCCTCTTCGATTTGTTTTTCTTTCTCTAGTTTCTTAAGGTAGAAATTTAGATCACATACTTCTAAAACTTTGTCCTTTTTAATATACATTTCTCACTAACCACTACTTTATATACTACAGGTTTTAAGTTTTCATTATTGTTTTGTCCTAATTATTTTTTATATTTGTTTTTGGATTCTTCTATGACTTAGAGATTACTTAGATATGGTGTTTCAATTTCAAATGTTAGGGATTTTTTATATATATTTTATTACCTTTACTTTCTAAATTAATTCATTGTGATCAGATATCATTCTTTATAAGATTTCAATGTTAAAACTTACTGGTATAGTCTTTTGTGTGCATTTCAGGTATGCTTGAAACTAGCCTATTTTCTACAATCCTGGTTGTTAGCATCCTAAAGCAAACTGGTAATTAGGTCACACTGGTAATAATGCTATTCAAATCTTTTGTATGCATTTTAAACTTATTTTTTGTCTATTTTTTTCTGTTGGTTATTTATTAAAAGTGTATTATAAAAGCTTCAGCCATGGTGGGCACAGTGGTGCATGTCTGTGATCCCACTGGTTCTGGACACAGGAGAATTGCAAGTTCAAAGCCAGCCTCAGCAACTTAGGCAGACTCTGTCTCAAAATAAAAGGGCTGAGGATGTAGCTCAGTGATTAAGTGCCCCTGGGCTCATCCTTGCTACCAAAAATAAATTAATAAAAGCAAGCTCAAACTATGATTATGGACTTGCCTGTTTCATCTTTTAGTTATGTCAGTTTCTCCTTTAGGGTAATTTGAAGTTCTGCTTATAGGTACCTGCACAGTTTGGATGGTCCAGTTTTCCTGAGAAACTTTTTTGGTTTTCATCATTTTTTAATGTCTCTCTATCATCTTGAAACCTGTTTGTGTGATAACATTATAGCCTAAACATCTCTCTGTTGTTAATTTTCATTTGCATGGTATATAATTTGCCTTTATTCCCCTTTACTCTCAACTTACTTGGGCCTTCTCACTCTTAGAGTTCCTAGGAAGCAAACTCTGACATGGAGATTTCATGCACAGGATGTATTTGGGATGTGCTTTCAGTATCAATACCTTTGGGGAGAAGGAAGGAAGCAGAGTTGGACTAAGAGACTTTGGTTGTTCAATTGCAACAAAGGCTCAGCTGGTTTTATGGGTGCCCTAGACTAGGATGCACCTTGGATCAGGGGAAAGTGTTTATACTCCTACATTGACCTGGCTGACCCCAGAAGGGATGTGATCTTGGGCACAATTAATCTGTTGTTGAAGCAAGTCCTGGAAAGGAACTCAGTTGAGAGCTATCAGTTGGCAACACTCCCAGCAGCTATAGGAATGAGTTCTTCAGGCCTAGATCTGAATGTGTGGGTGGTGCTCTGTGTCATTACAGTGTATATTGAAAATGCTTCTTGTAACTCTCCTATAGCTGAGTGTCAGTTGTGTAGTACAAGATGATGACCTTGGCTTTCTGTTGGAGTGTTTAATCCCTTGAAACTTAGTGTAATCATCAATGGGGTTAGGTGGGTGTGCCATTTTTCTGTGTATTTTCCATTTTTCTCATATGCTATTTCTTCCTCTTTTCCTGACTTCATTGATATCAGTCATTTCTTTATGTTTTTATTTTAATTGACTTAATGGCTTTTTATTATATTTATTGATATTTTTCTTATTAATATTTAATGACAGGAGTTACATTATGTACCCTAAACTTACTATTTATCCAAGTTTAATATAATACTTAAAGCCAAATGGAGAAACCTTAGAAAATACAACTTCATTCACTTGACCATATTTTGTGTTGTTATCATTTATTTTACTTCTACAGAATATTATAAATCTCACAATATAGTGTCATATTTTTGCTTCAAAGATGGAAGCATATTTTTGCTTCAAAAAGCTGTCTTTAATTATTTAAGAGGAGCATAGAAGATAATCTTTGACATTTACCTGCATTCTTACATTTATGTTACTCTTCATTCCCTCCTGCACATCTGAGATTTCATTTGGTTTCTTTCTTTCAGCTGAAATCACACCATAGTATTTTTTTT